CTGGTTCCCCAGCACCAGCGAGCAGTCCCCCAGTGCGAGCAGGTCGCTGGCCCCCACCACACGCAGGAACGAGTCCACACACAGCTTGGAGCCAGGGGAGAGGCGGGAGGCCTAGGGGCCGGAGGGCAGGTGGGAGGGAGGTGGGAGGTAGGGAGGGGCTCATGGGGGACGTGGAGCTGAGGGGGGTGGAGAATTACGCGGCAGGTGCATGCAAGGGGACGGTGAGACACTAGAAGTGATGTTGTCAACACTTGGGGCTGATGGACCCGGAACGCGCGCGTCAATGCAGGATTGTTGGAAAATGGTCAAGGAGGTTCGAGGCAGGAAGATGCGTCCTACCCTCATCCAAGACCTTTGCTGATCTGAAATCGCGAGCTACACCCCCCCCCCCGCCCACCCCGCCTCACCTCGGCCGCCATTGCCTGTTGAGGCACCTCTGAGGCGATTTGGGTCACCAAGGGCCGGGGCGCATTGCCGGCGGACCACACGCACACTCCGCAGAAAATCTCCTCCCCGTCCTTCAGTACCACCTGTGTATATGTATGTATGTGTGTGTACGCATGTAATTGGCAGTAGCACGGTATTAGAGGGAAGGGGGGGAGAGCGGGCGGGAGGGGGCTACAACCCACTAAGTCAATTGCACTTGACACACAAACTCCATTCAGCGGTTCGGTTCCATCAACAACAACAACAATAACAACGGCAACAACGTTATAATTCTCGCTCAATAAGCTGTGACAGCAAACTAGGACCCCCCCCACACACACCGCCTCCCCTCACCGCCTCCCCCAGTACCCCCCGTCACGCTGACACCCCCCCTCACCTTGTTCGCTGTGACCTGCACCACCCTCACACCGGTACGGACCTCCACTCCCGAGGAGGTGAGGGCCTCCAGAGCCCTCTGACCCAACCCCTCATCGAACTGGGTCAGAATGGACTGGGCGCTCTGCAGGAGGGGTTGGGACACGAGGGGGCGCGCGCGCGCGCGTGGTGTGTGCATGATTGTGTTTTGGCGCGAATGGTTGCGCGGGTCTTATGTCGAGGCGAGGATAGAAATGGAGGATGTGGATTTGGAAGATGAGAATGGGGAGAGGGGGAGGTGGGGAGACACATGCAGAGGTGCTGTGTAATTCGCACCTCACCTCGCCCATGGCCCCCAACATGGCGGGTGCGAGGAAGGACGTGAGAGCAGAGCAGCAACCCCCCAACAGGCCCACCGGAAATCCACTAGACTCCTTCCTTTTCACCTCCCCCCTCCCCCCTCCCTCCTCCCTCCTCCCACTCCGCTCATTTCATTGGACTGCAGGGGAGGGTGACTTGGGTGTTGGGCCATTGAATACAACACGTGCCATCAAGTAATCCCCTCTAACCCCCTCCTTCCCCTCCCCCCCACAACTGCAGCCATCCGGCCAATGCTCCTTTTTAGGACTTTGCACGCCGGCAGTTAATTTCTGATTTCCGTACATGCGATCCGCCCCACCCTCTCATCCTCTCACCTGCAGTAACGTCACCCGTACGTACGGCATTAGTGCCGGGTACTTCTTCCTGAGGTCCTCCCTCAGAAAGTCGCTCAGAGTACCGGCGAACTCGACACCGGTGGGACCGCCGCCAACCACCACGAAGTTCAGAGCGGCGCGTCTGGAGGCGGAAGGGGGAGGAGGGGGAGAGGGGGAAGAGGCGGGGGAGGGAAGATGTCGGAAGGGATTCCCTGCTGTTCAGACCCTTCCCATTGCCGCCTTCACCCACGCCTTAACTCCTATACAATCCTCCCGCTCTCTCCACCCCCCCCCTTATCTCCCCAGCCAAGCTATAGGAACACGCACCCACCTGTCCGCCTCAGAAGTCCCTGGCAGACTGGCCAGCTCAAACTTCTCAGCAATGCGACTGCGGAGGGCCACAGCGTCGCTGATCTCTGAGGGCGGTGGGCGGGTAGGTATGTAGGTATGTAGGTATGTAGGGATAAAGGTCAGGTACGGCGCGTGTTCGCCGGAATGATCTGAGCCGCGGACAGAAACTGGAGACGCAGCTACATGGGTACGTCATGTAAATGGGCTTCTGCGAGTACTATACCATCCTCTCAGGATGGTGTAGTAGGCATGTGTGTGCGGGGTTAGTTAGGTGGGGTTTAGTTGGTCAGCGTCGAACGAGCAGGGTTATGGCGACTAACTGACTAGATCCAGGCCTAGCCCCGGATGTACACGAATAACACAGACCCGGTGGAGGATATACATATTTCATTGCGCGAAATGTAATGTTACTGTTATCATATCAATGTTGTTTTCGCGATTGCAGCCTAATTAATTAATGCAACCCACATCTACACATCCTCGCTTTTTGCTGAGGCTCATCAACCACCCCAACATCCCCCCCCCCCACCGTCTCTTCTCCCTCACTACAAATGGCCCCCTCCCCCCCTCCCTTTTCACCTTTCATGAAGAAGCAGTGCTCCTTCACTCCCGGTACTCCGAAGGTGGCAGGTTGCTCGCCAACCGCCACAACCGCCTTGTCGTACTGGATCTGCATTTGCCATGGTTTGAAATGCAGTAGGTGGACAGCTGCAGTAGGTGGATTGGACGAGCAACCTGAGGACAGGTAGCAGCGGCCATCCACACAACAAAACCCGGCTCCGGACGCCCCCTCTCTTTCACTCTCCTACCTCCCTCCCGCCCTCGCACTCCTACCCACCTCAAACTGAGGTCGCCTGCCGTCGTCGTACGCGAAAGACGAAGTGCAGACAGCCACCTTGGCTGCGGGGCGAGGAAGGTAAGGGGCCAGAGGGGCGGGGGTTATCCTGGGCAGGGACCCTCACCCTGCCCCTAACATGGTGGCTCCCCACCTCCCCTACCCCCAAACCCTAAAACCCCTCTCCCCTTACCCCTCCCCTTACCCCTCCCCCCCCTCACCCTCCGGGTCCAATGTTTCGCACTGCGCCTCCAGGTACGTGACACACGGGTTGGAAGTACGGATGGGCTCCAGCAGGGAGCGGAACTCCACAGTGCCCACCGCGGTGGAGGGGAGCATGGGGGTGAACACAAAGTGGTTGCGGGGAGATACGACAACGACGTCGTACATGTCCGTGTCAATGACCTGCAGGAGGGGCCCCGGCAGCAGCAAGGGAAAGGAAATGCGGGTTGAGGGAAAAGCTGAAGGGGCCGATGGGGCACATGCCGTACAGCACGTACGCGCCAGGCGGTACGACATCTTCTCCCGCCCTCCCCACCTTAATGAGCGAGTGTGCTCCCCAGCCGCTCCCCAGCACCAGCACCACGGGCTTGGTGGATGAGCGGAGACGCATACGCCCGTTGCCACCTGAATACACATACAGACACACACGCACACACAGGGGCATACGCGTCGTGTGCATACACACCTGGGCCACAATGCTGCGGGGCGTTCCCAATAGCCCCAACCGCGCACATCGGTCCTGCCTGTCAATTCGTCACATATCGCCGCCCCTTAGTCGTAACGCCCGCCCCAGTATCTTCAACACCACTTCACAAAGTCACAACCTTCGGCGTTTCCCTCATCGCGGCGCAATGATCAAATCATTGAAATCAATTCACAGCATCTATTATAGGCTCTTCGCTTTTCTTGGTCCCTCTGTAACTGTAACACCCTTTACTTAGCTCCGGAACCTTTCCCGTACTTCATCACCGCCCATTTACTTCCTATTCCGACATCTCCTTCGTTTCTCTATTCCCTCTGTTCGTCTCTTCTCCATTGGGATCGGCACGTGGCCGTGTGGCACGTGTGTCCATGTGGCCTTTGCAATTGCAATCGCCCTCGCATGTGCACATCTTCCATCAAAAAGAACACCTACTAACTCCCGCTGCTGCTGATATATGATGATGCCAAGCCAACATCATTTCTCCTTCGTTCACAGGCCAACCAACCTCCAGCTTTCACGGGAAGGGCTGGTTGTGCCGAGCACCTTGCTTATTGTCGCATCGCACACGCAGCGGTAGCATGACGCTTTGCTTTGTCGTACCTAGGCAGTGGAGTGAGAGGCTTGCAGACGTTCACGACAGCACAAGAAGGCGCTCCCCAGTGCGCGACATGTGGCTGACTCGTTATTCGTCGCAGTGAGGCGCGGCGCGCTGTGCACTTTTTTTCTGGCGCACGTGGGCTCTCCACCTACAGGAGCTCCTACAGTTTTCCCCCATCTTTCAAACCCATCCTCACCCCGCTCTTTACCTCTCTGCCCGCCCCCAGGCAGAGATGTTTAGCACTTGTGCAGTCTTAACTGCATAAGTTGTTAGGTTTGCTGCTGCGGTGCTGCCGCCGCTGCTGCAGCTCCTGTCGCCATAGGCGGCTGCTTCCATGCCCCTCCCCCTCCAAGAGTTCGTAGGAGAATGATGCACACAGACACGCCCACCCACCCATTTGGGTCACACGCCTGTCCTCCTCCGTACACAGCAGCAACTTACTACTACGCATGCGGCACACCAAATGCGCTTCTGGCGCATTAGCAATAACATACACCCCATATACATATACAAGTATGGGCACGACGCATCCCCATGCAATGCACCCGTAGGCATACAGGTGTCACGATGCATTGTCTGCCGGCACAAAGACACCGGCACCGCAAGCTCCCTGTGCCGACAAACGCGGCCACACGCACCCGGCACCAGCTGCTCCTGCTGTGCAGGAAGATCCGACTCCACATTCATGCGCCGCAAATGGCGGCCAATATCCACTACGGAGTCTAGCAGATTGTCTAGGGCAACCGCGGCGAAGGCGCGCTGGGGGGGCCATTGCGGGTCGCCTGGCAATGGAAACAGCAGCTCCTGTGGCGATGATGCTGCAGCGCTGGAGGGCGCTTGAACCGGCTCGGCTACCTGTTTGAAGCGACGGGATGTACACGTGATTCAGGCAGTTTTACACAGGTCTGTAGAGATGTGAAGGCGCGTGTTGGGACAGCGGCGATACGTGAAAGCGGTATTCGGAGAAACAGCGATACGTCAGAGCTCTTGAGGTCGGCTAACGCAGCGGCTTGCAAGGGTTTGCATTCATAGAACGCGAGAAGTTGACCGTCTTGCCTGCTTCACCGGCGGGTCCTTCACCGCCGTTTGTGTGCCCCTTCCATCGCTACTTCCGTCGCGCGGCGCTTCGGCTCTGATGCGTATGCTTGCGAGCCGACCGGGAAGCCCTGGGCGACCTGCGCATCAGGTACATCCCAACGAAGAGCATAGACCACGCCGCATAAATGCGTGAATATACGGCAACACGACACGCTTTTGCGACCTTTTGTCTATGCGATTTACGGAACTTCACGGCAACATGGCTTCGACGAGCACCTTCCCGATTTCGGCTCCTCACCTGCTATTCTTACAGCATACTGAGGGCGTAGGGGGGCCCGAAGGCCTTGTCCAGCTGCGGTCCGCATTGAACTCTTTTCGCGGCCGTTCAATTTCACACGCGTAAAGCCTATGGCAACAGCTAGGAAAAATAATAAGGTCAAACTCCCGTTGCCTACACGCACGTATCCAGCAAAGATTCGATATGCTCAGCTGGAGTTGGTATCTTGCAGAGAATGATGTGGTAATCGAGCACGAAGAGTTCCGAAACTCTATAGCTTCCGTTTCTTTTTAAATACACAAAAGGAATATATAAATCATATGTTATCTGGACCTACATAGTAGATCTTGGGTATTTCGGAGGAGGCTTACGTGGCAGAATAGTACAGTTCGTTAGCAGGACATCCTTACGAACCGTTTCCAGGTAAAGCGGCTCCTTTACGACCAGGAGACGAGACAGTTGAGACGTACGCATGGTCTTTTACTAACGCCGATGGCTTAATCCTCCGCCTCGGCATGAGCGGCGGCCCTAAGCGCTGCATAAGATCAAGGACGCACCGTGAGGGACACCCTCGAGAAGCTTTATCAAATTTACATGACGCGATATCCCCCTGCTCACCGGCCGCAGGCCGCTTTGCCGTTTAAGAACCCTAAGCGCAAGCCCGTCTCGCCGCCGTTCCTAGGGCACCACCTCGGAGCCCGTTCTCGCAGCCATTCCTAGGGCACTGCCGTCGTGCGCTGCATCGGAGAGGGCACCAACACGTGGGCAATACCCCGAGCTGCCAACTCAGCAGCCATTTGCTTGTTGACCTCCTTGTCCGCTCTGTTGTGGCCACTCTCTCCCCGAATACGCCGCCGCCCGCCCAAGTCTTGGACCAGGTACCTGCCGCCATCGCCATCGCATCCAGAAAAAAGATAAAACAAGCATGAGAAAGGTTGACAAAGCTAGCTCAAAAGCGAACGGTTAACGGTTGCAGAATTACCAGGCCCAGCGGTCCTAACCCTGGGCAACACCTCTGAGCCCCAACCCGCGCTACCGCTCTCCCTAAATACTCACCTTGCGCCACAATCGCACATCAAGCATACGGCAATTCCCTCAGGTCCTAACTTTGCTTGAAAGTCCTGTCGGAAAATAACAGGGTTTGCGTCCCCGGTTGGGTTTAGGAGAGCGTTATAACAAGGGGGACCGACAATGGGGTGGTTTAGGCTCGGAGGGGAGTTCGATGGAGTCGTGGAAACTTAACCGATGACCAGGCATATATGGACGTCCCGGAATGGTTAGGATAGGATGAAGGGTAAAGGAAAGGAAGTTGCATTGTTCGTGAGCTCCAATTGGGCATGGTACATTTTTGGTGCGGGGATTTGGCAGTCGGATTGTAATTCGGCAGTTCAGCGGTGTACCGTACGGTTTGGAAGCCAGGTTAAGGGCAGTTTGCTTGTGTTGTGCCTGTGAGCCAGGGCCCCATATGCAATTGTAAAATCCCCGCCAATAACGCCTTATGTCACAGTAAGGTTTATGTTCACGTACGTTATAAGGTTATGCTCAAGTAAGGATGACCTACCTTCAGCCCCTTAATCTCTTCGCGCTCCAGCCCTTTCACGTAGTTGAGCTCGGCGACGCGGAGAAACTCGTAATGGGAAGAATGTTCTTGACAAAGACATTTTAGCGTGACCCCAAGGCCTGCAGCGGTCGGTAAAACTTGGCGAGGTGCGCAGCGCTTGTACATGCCATCTACACGCACCTCCGTTCGGCGAATCTCCGCTTGTACATTTATTGCATGCCCCTAAAGAGACCGAACAGCTGTAATTGATAAGTAACGGCACAAAAACTGCCGAACCAAACTTTTTGCGGAAAAGGTTGATTCCTACCGTAAACCTTTTCCTGAGCTGTATTGAAGTGACTTAGCTGGCCCTTTCCGTGACATTTCGTGCAAACCTTTAGGTAAGGCCTCTCGGGCTTTTGGGCCTTAAACATTTTCTGGCGTCTTGTTTGGTCACATTATGAATTACAGACAGAAACAAACAAAGAGCTGAAGTGCATGTGACCACTCTTCCAGTAGTAGCTTGGACGCACAAAAAGTACACCACTGCACAGAGCTCTTCAATAAAATCAGAAATAGAGCAAAGGTTGACTCATCACTCCGTACTTGGTACCGTATCAGCACTAATAGCAGTTTGTTGCCCCATACACACATATACTTTTGAGTCACCCATCTGGGCTCTCACCTCGGTTGGCCCACACGCACACGCACACGAACACGCACGTACTTTTCGCTCGCTTCGCCACGTCTCGACTGCGCTATGGCGCATCCGCATGTTGACCAGATTTCCTCGTGGTCTTTATAAAACGCCTCACACGCAAGCACGCACAAACGCATACACGTGCCTTCCTAAAAATTCTACACACTTCCAGCAACGCCACGCAAAGCAGGTATACTGCGGGTTCACCGGCGGCACTAAATCTTCCATGCCTTCCTTCACTTGAATGTATACATACATGCAAACTGCCGGCCGACCTCCAGGTGGTTGTCACCTCCTGAATTGGCCTCTCCTTTCACACAAACATGCATCGCAAAACGGAGTAGGGCGCCGCAGCGCCATAAGCTTAGCTAGGATGGCTCTAGACGGCTCAAGACCCGGGGTGATGCCGTTGCGGGGAAACCTGAATCTTCCAGCAGGTGTGTTCATACCCCCCCTTCCATCATCCTCGCTCCACGACAGTCCTCACAGCCCTCTCGCAGCAGCCCTCTCGCAGCACCCTTCCCCAGGCATCCTCGCTCCGGGCACAGTCGCCCTCCGGGTGGTCATCGTCGTCATCGTCCCTCCGGAGCAGAAAGCACCTAGACAGAATTTAATAGCAGTACTAGCCATCAGCTACAAAGGAAACCCCAGCCTCGCAATTTCAGGAAGCTATACACACACACACACATGTGCCACACTGGAACGGACATAAAACCGCTCGTTCCAACAACCAGCAGCAGCTTTTCTGATATATCCGACAGAATCTTGAACAAGGTAATGTTCATCCACCGGGATCGGCCACGACGCCGCTTTCGTTTGATTTAACTTATTTATGATATTTATTCCTTTTATTCTATTTATTCAAGTTCACCTTCCCACCATCCATACCAGAATTAAGAGCTGTTACTTTGCAAACCCAGTCATTGCGACTCACGAGAGCGAGTTTGTCTTTATCTGTGTGCATGTGCTCGCGCCCCGATCCGCTCAGATAAGCCCACCCAACCCAACCCAGCCACTGGGCTACCTCTCGGCAGAGCGGACGTGCAAGAGGCCCCACACACATCGCAGCACCACAATCACACATCCAGACGACAATAACATCTCCGTACGGCAGACGTACGGAAGAACCACCCCAGCTGCCTTCATCGGACATTAGTCCACTCGTGAGGACATCGCGGGTTGGGAAGGAAAGCGCGAGAGCACTTTCCCTCCCCCCCACCCCCCCGACATGTTCGCGATGGCGCCCACCACCACCACCACCACCACCACCACCACCAGAACAACACCTCAACCAAACTTCGCCAACCTGCTCTTTGCAGCAGCGGTAGCAGCAGCGGTAGCAGGCGGAGCGCATGACTCGCGCGCTCTAATAGAAGAAGGCGCACAACTCTTCGCTGGGTGCTTTATTTAACCCTTCGCTTAACTGTATTACCCGTATTACCGCAAACTTGCCCCGGAGGGGGGGAATGTCCCCGGCAGGAAGCCGCCGGTACGCTACACTTCACTACACTTCACTTCGCGAACGACGACTGATAAAACCTTTACAAGGCCAACCCATGCGTGTTTTATTGAACTGGACCGCTGTGAAAAATACGGTAATGTACGGCAAGGTAGCCACCTGGAATACAACAAAGGACCATCGCGGGCTGCAGTAGCTCCCGGGAGCGTGCAAGGGCGCTCAGACACGTCACACACACCTACGTGCCCGTGTGTCTCACAACACCCTCCTCCTCACCACTCCCCTCTCGCGGCTCAGGTAATAATGGAGACACACACACACACACACACACACACACACACACACGGGGGACAGGCGGGCATGTACACGCGCGCGGCAGGCGACCCTCGACGGCCGTCCGGGGCCGCCAACAAACACACATACACATATATCAACATTTGTGCCACATGCATGATTTGTACGACATGTGCGGCATCTACGTGTTCCCCATACCCATTGCCATACGCGCCATGGCATCCATCATTCAGGGCAAAACGCCGCCATCGGGGTGGCGCCAGTCGGGGTCACCTCCCCCTCGGCCCACCACCTTCACCACCTGCCGGAGAAAGACACCAGCTTCTCGTTCTCTCCAGCTCCACCCCACCAACATCTCTTACTCCTCTCTGCCTTCTTCCACCTCCTTCGCCTCCTCGGCCCCCCTCCTGTGAAAGGCGATCTTGGAAAGATGGCGAGGCGTCCTCCTCCCCCCCCAGCCCCTCCAGCCCCTCCTCCACCACTCTTTGTCACTGCTCCTCCGGACCCCTTCCCGCCCACCCCTCACATTTCAACACACCCCTTACGGACGTGTGCCACACATGAGTTGGTTAGAACTTCAACGGAAAAACCGCCATGGATGGGAAGTGCAAAAAGTGAGGTTGACTCCCCCCACTCCTTTTCATTGATTCCTTTCTTTTAGCGGCGAGCCTTTTGGCGACCAGTTAGAGCTGAGCGAGGTTCTGGCGATGCGCAACGGACCCTCCCCATCCATCCACACACGAACACAAACACACGCACACACACACGAGCGGCATCATCATCATCATCATCGTCATCTCTTCCTTAATCGGAGTAACGTTGATCCGATACCACTCACTGTCCTCCGTGGACCCCCAACCTCCAACTACCAACCTCCAACCACCGCGAAGTCCACTCCCGCAAACACAACTAAATACACAACTAACCTACACAACGCCCATTTGCAAGTCACATTACATGTGTAGTAGCCTGCCTGTTGTAGCCTGCCCCTTACCACTGGACAGACACCGCCACCTACCGAACCTCTTTGAACACCACTCAATAGCCGCGCCCCCACTGCCTCTCCCCCCACCCCCCCTAATCGCCTCTTTCCCCCCTTCGGCACCTTTCCTCTCCAAAGCTGCTCAGCAAGCAAACTCTCTCTCTCTCCACCTTTCCTCGGTTGAATAAACACACACACACACACACACACACAGAGACACAGGCCGACCTCTCGGCACTACATGTTCGTCCTTTAACCCTAAGAACACAACAACGACTCCTACAACCTTTCCGTTCCAACGCTTGCTCGTCCAAGTGAGAGACGTCATCAACAAACCATTTTAACCCCCCGGCGGGGGAACGGGGGGGGGAAAGACGAACCACACACGATTGAAGCTGCTGCCAGAGCAAGAGAGTAGCAAACGTAGAACGGGGGGGGGGAAGCGCTCCCGACCTAAACAGCATCAGGCCAGGGAGAGCCCAACTCAGAGAGCGGCGCAGGAGGGGGCGCCAGCAGAGGTGCACGTGGGGCCGTGTATTGCACAGCACAACGCTGTAGACGCGCGTAGCGAGCTGTACAAGCGATATAGTAAAATTATAACATTTTTATTGTTGAAATTGCCCAATTTTCTCATCAGGCTAACATCTTAAGAGCCATTGACAACCTTTGGAAGAAAAGCATAGGATAAAATGCCTAGCCAGTTATGGGTTATTGCGGGTGTACGGGTGTACGGGAGCTAGGGGAAGCCACATACCCCCTAGGGCCCCCCTTAAGGCACAGACCCCCTCATAACTTTATGTTTGGCCCCAGGGAACTTTATGATCGAGTACATGCAAGTAGGAGCCTGATAACGTCATGAACGCGCTTATTTAGGCAACGCCTCGCTACAACCCCCCACCCACCTCAAACCACCCCAAACCACTCTTGATAGCCCCTCTTGTCGTCGTATCGTCCCGCGGAAAAAACGCGAAGAGTGGCGACGACAAATCGGAGCTCCTAATCCGTACATGGGGTCATGTAAAGTACACCCACCTCCCCCATCACCCCCACCATCACCAGCCCCATGACCCCCCCCATCACTACCACCAACCCCACCACTACTGCCACTGCTACCACTGCTACCACCACCAGTACCAGGCCCCCTTCCCCCCGTAAAAGAGTCCTCACGGCCTCAGCACCTCCCTTCCCACACAAAAACCTCCGCAAGGTCCCTCTCGTACATAAAAGCATACACACACACGTCCTCACCTCTGCAACTCACCAAAATCCCCCCCAACCACTCAACCCCGACAAGCAACACCCTCCCAAACCCCAGCCCAAGGCCCTGCGTCATACTCCCCCTACCTTCCCGACCTCACCCCTCCCCCAACCAAACCCCCGATCTCCTCACTTTCCGTTGCCGTCACCACCACCACCACCACCACCACCACCACCATGATCACCACCACCACCACCACCATGATCACCATGACCATCGCGATGGCTACCCCTACCGCACTTCGCCTTGTGGCCGGTATGCCAGTGCATGGCCTGGCAGTGGCGGCTGCAGTACCACTCCGAGCCGCAGCGGGGGCAGGCCGCCAGCTGCAGCTGAGCCTCATGCAGTCCCGACAGGTTCATGCAGCTGGGGTTGCTGCACGTCCTCAGCCGCCAGAGGCTCTCGGAGGGGGGCACCCAGAAAAACGGCCGCTGCTGCTGCTGCTGCTGCTGCTGCTGCTGCTGTAGCTGTGTCTGCTGCTTGTGGTTGTTTTGATTTTTGCTGTTTTTGTTTTGGGAGGTTGAGAGCCCCCTGAGGAGCAGGTCGAAGAGGACCTTGTCGGCAGCGGAGCCGTGGTCGGACACCATCACCTGTCCGCGGGGGGTTGGGGGGTTGGACGGTTGGGGGGTTGGGGAAATCATATGCAAGGAAAACCATGTCATTGATAAACTGCCGGCTTCCAAAGTCCGAGACTGCCTAGTGAGTCCAGGGGGGGTTAGGGGGGGAAAAGACGAACCACGAACGAGTGAAGCTGCTGCGAAGGGTTTTTTTTGGGGGGGGGGAAGTAAGACGAACCACAGACAACTGA